GACCTCTGATGGGAAAGAGACCAATATGATTTTACTCGATTATAACCACAGAGTTTTTCAACTTTGTTTCTCCACCAGGAAAGCCAGTAAAATAAGCTAAGTCCTTAAATGCTAGAATTCTTGCTGTCTCTCATTCAATTTCAACAGTGGCAACTTTAATCTCGTTGTCTTTCAGTATATTTAGACCATAACCCTTAAAAATAGTAAAAGAATGGCTGAGAAATATGGATGACACCAATATCATCTTATAGAAATTCTACAGACTCCTCCATTTTGCTTTAATCTCATTTATATGGAAAAATACATTTACGTTTTCATACTATTATACTGCAAATGACCTTAATTTCTCGGTGAATTTATTTATGCATTTACTTGTCTTGCTTCAATAATTTTCTTTTAATGTGCTCTCAATGCTTATTATAAAAGCAAGGTTCTCATCTATCAGAATTTCCAAAAGATGGAATCAAAAATTAGATTCTAGGGAGGGATATAATAGCATTGATTCCAGATTTAATGGACAGATTTTTTTTTAACCTACCAGCAAATATCTGGTCTTCAGAAAATAAGTTAATAATTTCAGAAATGTACAACATAAAAAGCCAGCCCTAAAAGGACCTTAGAAAGTATATGTTCAATGCTCTTGTTTTTCGGACAAGGAAGGCTCAGAGGGGGATAAATGATGTCTTGAAAGTCACAAGCTAGTTACAGACAGAGCAAGTTCTCTTAACTCAATGTGCAACACACTTTGCTTTCACGAACAGTACATTTAGACAATCATTTAGAGGTTACAGAGTAGAAACTTCAAATCCTATGCATTTTATATATGTTTACATTCACTTAGTCGTATTTATTTTGGCAGCCTGAGATCGCACAGTAAATACCCAGTGAGTGTGCAGGGTCTATGTTTAAGGTTATGTCTATTCCTGAAGCTCTAACACTATCTAAAGTATCTAATTCCATCTACACTCTTCACCATGCTTGGCCAGGATAGCACTGATTAAAAGAAAATTATTTTATAAACTATTAGTTTGCCAAAACTAATCAGACAGAAATTAGTAAATTCAGGTGGGTCTTAGTCTTCAGACTAATACTAAATTTAGTCATGTATATTTTTTATTCATTCAATCAATATTTGCTGAACATCTACTACATGCTAAGGATGGTTCTAGAGATAGTGCAGACAACAGTAAGCAAGACAGATCAAGTTCCTGCCTTCATGGAACTTCCAATCAAGAAGTTTAAGCAAAAAATAAACAGATAAATAAATGAACAAAATGATTTCAGAGCCCTAGAAGTGTTATTGAAGAAATAAGAGTCGATGATAATAATGGAAAAGATTCTATTTTTGAGGAGGTGACGTGAACTATAACCTCTACTGTAAGAAAAAGGCAGCCGCATGAGAAGCAGAAGGAAGAGCATCCCAAGCAAAAGTAAAAGCAAACGGCAAGCCTCTAGTGGAAACAAGTTCGGGGTTTGGCTGCACTACAGTTTGCAAGGAGCAACAAGGTGGTGAAGACACAGACTACATAAGGGATTTGAAATATTTTTCCAGTAGAGTATGTAAAGATAAATCATCCTTTAAGAAATGAATCTGCATGCCTCCATATAATTTTATTATTTTATTACATCCAGGCAGAGCAAATATCTGCATTAGAAAAGCCATAGTGATTCTCAATCAAGTGTAATTTACTTATTCAAAATATATATAAAAAACAAGGCTCAGGCAAGGGTTTAAATATGACTCTGCTTACAAGAAAAAAAAAATAGTTACAGCATTTTGACCACCTGGAATTCAGAACTGCCTTCTGTTTAAACCTGAGGGGTGTACAAATTCACTATCATTTGGTTTACTTCATCCAGCAGGTAAAGTCTACTAAGGTTGAGCTCACGTATTACTACTGAATTAGTCAAATGACAAAGTGTTCTTTAAATTATGTGATGCATATTTTTGAACTAGTATAATCTATTTACACAGCATGGATATCATATTTGTCATACATAGAAAACAGCATATAAAAACAATCAATAATTTCCTACACTAGGCTATCCTGTAAGAGAAAACACCTACATGTATAAATATAAAGACCTTGGGCCACCTGAGATTGAAAGATATGAATCAAGAGTATGAATTCCATGTTTGCAACCATCAACCTGTATGTCCAAGCCTGGGCAAGATTCTTACCCTCTCTGAATCTCATCTCTCTCAAAAATACAGGTTAATATACATTCCTAGCTTGAAGAGACAATGAAGCAAGAATTTCTAAGTGTTTAGCACAGAGAATAAACTCAATAAATTTTGGTCTTTTCCCCTAATATATTTTTTTCTAATGAAAGTAGTATCATTTACAATATGAGAACTACAATCATGCAAATTTTATTTGTCTCTTTTAATCAAAATTTTATGGTTTTGGTCACATAAGAAAGAAAAGTAAGACAAAGAAACCATTTTTAAAGCTCTTCACACACCAAATACTGAATTAAGACCTTGTTTTTTTTAACTGTTTTGCTGCCTGGAACCATCCTATTCTGACTGTTTAGCTTCTCTACAGTTTCCAGTGTGTTTCCTTCATCTCAGACACACACACATGCCCAAACACAGTAAATCACAGTTAATTGCATGTCTTAAATTAAAAGACAAAAAAATTGCACAATTAATTGGGGGAAATTGTCAGTTGGTGAATGAGTCTCGCTTACTACACTCTGTGCACAATGTGCATGCCAAGTGCATATTCCAAGCTGGACGATTCACTCCATGCCTCTGAGGAGAGGTACATGGGCACAATCTTTCTGCACAGCAGTCTGGTCAGAAGAATCAAATGCTTTAAAACACTCAACATTTCAATTGTTGTATCAATAGCTATCTCTACAAGGATGTTCAGTACAGGACTAAGCATAACAGTGAAAAATTAGAAAGAACTAAAATGCTCATTAATAAGGACCTGAATAGAGACTAGGTTTGACCATTAACGGAAAAAAAATCTAAGATGTTACATTTACAAATAATTTTGTTAAGCTTAATAACAGGAGAAAATGTTCATGACATATCATTTGAAAAATGTTAACAAAATAGTATATTTCTTCTTTGAAGCTATGTAATATGCAGGTGAAGCAAAAAATGAGAGAAAGGAATGGGAGAAAGCTATTGGGAAAATAATCGACAAATGTTAATATTTGTCATCTCTGAGTTGTTTGTACTTTGTAAATTTTCTAATTTTCTAAACAATCATCTGAATTTTTAAAAATTACATTTCAATTTGTTTTTGAATCTGATACTTGAAAATGTCAGTTTTAAAATAAAGATCCTTATGAATCTTTTAAGATGAACTTAGCTATTACAATAAAAACATGAGCATAAAATTAATAAAGAATCCCTAGTAAGCACATACATACAATCCTATTGTATGCTTGGTTATATATATAAATTAAATTCATAAAAATGTATTTTATAAATATATAACAAACACATGTTGACACAATTAAATGCTTAATACCATAATCTATTTCAACATATAACTTACAGTGTATCAACACGCCATAAGAAAATCACTATAAATCCTTTTTCATTTCCTGACACTGACCAACTACAGAATATATTCACAGTAAAGCCAATAATCTGAATTTGAGAAACTCCAAACCTTCTCTCCTTTACCCCCTACTCTCCCACTATTTTCTACCCTATTATAAAAAGACTTTATAACCAGCTACCTAGTGTAATTCTAATGCTAAAATCTGGCAATAAACTATACATACAAACACACTAATGCACACAGAATTTCATCATTTTATAAAAGCAGGAAATGACAAAGATTTATAATATATTCCTAGTCAACTAGTGATACTAACTTTTGTTTTATTTCATTTTTGAATAAAAGAATTTATAAAACCCAACAAAGTAGATTCATTCCAAAGGTATTCAGCAGTCTACTAACCTTAAAATAAGAAATAAACATTTCCTGCCTTCTTTTATATAATAGGGTATGGAGAGGGAAAAGATAATCATATTTCAGCAAAAGCCCATATCTCAACCTCAGGCATCTTTATGTCCCAAGGGTAATATTTTCATTCTATTCTTAATGGAACAAATTTCTAATCAGAACATGTATTCAAAAATAATTGAAGCAATGCAATGTCAACATATCATGCTGCCACCAGGCATCCCCTGGTGTTCAGAATCATCTCAACACAATCTCCAGCGTGACAGAAAGCCTGGGCAATGCAAAATATCAGACTTGATCAAGAGAAGGGGTGCTAGCGAGGAGCATACAATAGTTGGGCTCCCCTTTGGATGCTCAAACATAGTGTTTGGAGGAAAGCTTCTATGCTGGACGAAGACAATCTCAAAACGTCTAAGGAAGGAAAGACTTACAATGCCCACTCCAGAACCTCAACTTTTAAATATTAGTAAGTGTCTATTTTTGTAAGGGTATTGAAAATACTTGAAACAACAGTCAATTCTGGAAAGGTTAACACTCACATCTAGATTTCTACTTATTAAAGCCTCAGGGTAACGTATATTATTGAATATATCCTGCAATCCTCTGAAAGGTCCAGAGATTTAAATTTAGGTTTCTCTAAGTTTGGCAAAATATTGATAATTGTTGAAGCTGGGTGATGAGTCATTGAAGTTCATTATATTATTTTTTCTACTTTTGAGTATATTTGACATTTTCATAATAAAAGTTTAGAAAAGTAGATTTTTGCTCAAGGAGTATATATTTTATGTTAAAAATTTTACTGACTTTTCCTTTGGAAATACATATTAACAAGATCTGGTTTAAGTTTATTATTAAAGACTCTAACAAGCAGTCTGAATTTTATAAAATTCCACAAAGCATTATGTTTTATGCTATCATAACAAAGAAAAATATCCTTCATTCCAGAAAAAAATTTACCATGATCTATGATGACAGAAGAAGTGCACCTAAACAAATGCAGTGCCACCATCTGCCTGGCATTCTCACATTGTGACAAAATAGACTGGTAATTAACTGCTTCCTTACCGAAATCTGCCAGCTTCAACTCCCCCGTGTCACTGATCAGAAGGTTCTGTGGTTTCAGGTCTCTGTGCAAAATATAACGCTGGTGGATGTAAGACAGCCCTCGCAGCAACTGAAATAAAAACAACTGAAAAAATAAGGAGACAAAGGTTAAAATCTGAACACAGATAAATGCCAGTTTCTACATATAGTCTGCTAAGTACTTGTATTGACATATAGTGAAAATCGGTAACCATCACCAAATATTCTAACAAATTATTTCAACAGAATGTGAGATATTAGCATGTGAATTCCTAATGCATTAAGAAGCAAATCTAGGAATTTCCAACAACCTATTATATCAACCCCAGAGTGATACTTCCCCAGCCAGAGATCTATACTCGAATCAGTATTCCTTAAATTAATTAAAATGTAAATAACCAATTTTTAATAATTGATTTAGTCTTCAGGACTAAAGTGATATTTGAGAAGAAAGAAAATCTATTCATAACATCATAAAGATTTAAAAAAGAACTGTTTACCAAGTTTATGTCAATATGTACATATTTAATTCATAGAAACAACATAAACATGTACCCATAAATTCACCCATTAACATGCTTTGGGGAATAGAAAGATAAGATGATTTGAAATAATTAAAACAAAAACAATCATATTGTCTAACTAATACTGTGTTATAATTATACTGCTTTTGCACATATGGTCATAGATATTAGGCTGCTGCTTAAAGAGAGACATGAACCTTCACTAATTACAAAGCAAACCCATCCTAAAGGGAAAGGAGACACAGAAAACAGAAGTCAAGAATTTGAGAGTAATACTTTTGTAAGAAATAATTTCAGAGGTGATTAATAGCCTTTTCTGTGAAATTTCATATTGGATCATATCAAATGTTTCTATTTTGATAAACAAAAAAGTGTGATTCACTAGGCTTCCCAACATTCTTACGAAAAAGGGAATATTTTTAAACAATTACTTGCCAAAATAACCCTAACTGACATTTTTAAAAAATCCTAAAACAAAAACAAATGTTCTTACTTTTAAGTGCCACCAATATTCTAGTCTATATAACCAGCTAGCAACCAAAGGCAGTTTCAGGGAAATTTCAAATGAGTTGTAAAAGATGAATGATATAAGGATTCTGAAATATTTGAACAGAAAAGATTGGCAACTTCCTGAGGGCCCTGGAAGGTAGCATTTCTGGAATGTTCTGACTAAGCAGGGACTTTGAAAGCCAACTGAATTTCATTATAACTTGAAATAACAGTAAAGTTAATTTATCTCAAAATCTTTATATGTGACAATGTGTATGAGGGGACAGTAAAGGCTTGATATTTTTATTTCCAGAGCCTAAGCAGCAGAAAGTAGAAGTCTGTTCTGTGTTAGTGAAGATTAAAAGACTAGCTCAAGAATCTCAGGATGCAAACATCTCTCTGGATTTGTCTTTTTAATTCTTCTTGTACAACAAACAGAAAGACGTGAGTTCATAACCATCACTAGCAGATGCCAGCCTCATTCTTCACCTCCAATACTCCCTGCATCCTGAAGCCTAAAAAGCTTACAACTTCTAAGACAATTCATACTCCTTCAGTTTAGAATGCAGGAGGGAAAAATAAAGCCACTTTGTATTATCAAAGCCTTTTAAAAAACTGAAACAAATACACAAAGGCAGACCACATTACAAATCTAATTTTAAAAATAAACTGATTTTGAAAAGAAACAGTTTGCCATTGTACGAGATGCTACCTGATCTTAGGGACCTATGAGAATCTTATCAGAATGTAACTGTTTAATCATGGCAATGTATTTATTTATTTATTTATTTTATTGCATTTTAGGTTTGGGGGTACATGTGAAGAACATGCAAGATTGCTTTACAGGTACACACATGGCAGTGTGATTTGCTGCCTTCCTCCCCTTCACCTATATCTGGCATTTCTCCCCATGCTATCTCTCCCCAACTCCCCACCCCCCGTCCCTCCCCCATTTCCCCCCAACAGACCTCAGTGTGTAGCGCTCCCAATCATGGCAATGCATTTTATTTTAACAAATACATAGCACTTACTACATATCAACTGCTGTTCTATGGAGTTTATAGAATATTACTTCATTTGACCTGACAACAATTTTAATGAAGGAGGTACTACTATTAATCTCCGTATTAGTAATGAGGAAACTGAGTGCAGTTTCTCAAGATCACACAGCAATTAAGTGGCAGAGCCAGGACTCAAACCCACACTCTGATTCCAAATTCTATGCTCTTGACCATCTCACCGTCTCACTCATCATCTTGGCCAGAAATCCACACCAATATACAAAGTATTGCTAGAGAACTGCTTCCTCCAATGAACAGAATAAAATCTGGGAATCTAGTAACATGGCCTTCAAGGTCACTGAGATAAGCACTGATTCCAACTGAGGGGCTCAGGTGTTGTTTTTTGCAGGGGGTAGTCTCAGGCATTATTATTCCACTTTCTCCAGCTCCAAGGAACCTTGTCCATCCCAAGACTCAGCACGCTGATCCTCAACCCTGTACTTTTCTCCTTGCTTCTCCTCAGCCAGAAAGGCTCTTCCCTTTGCCTACCACTTCCCATGCATTCCGTAGTCTCTCCTCAGGAACTGCTCCTCCCTGGAGCCTTCTCTGACCACCCTGCAAGCCCTTGTATCCCTACAGGTCTGTGTAAGGTGCTCCTCCACCCTGCTCCCAGGGCAGCCTCTGCATACATCTCTCACAGTATGATACTTATCCTAGCACCCATAGGCTGTGTGCTTTTACCATCTTTATAACTTGGGTTATGTGAGTAATGTGACTACTGATCTGAATTTAGAGACATCTGGATGGTAGCAGACAAAAACAAGTAACAGGAAACCTTGGAATAGAATTCTCTAGAAGCTAAGGGAAGAAGTAGGTAAATCAAGCAGTTTCAAAGAACTCTTCCTTACTACCTTTACTAATTAGTGAAAATATATACTTCTCATACTAATCTAGAAGCTATTCAAATAGGATGTCATATTAAACAAGATTTAAAAAGCAGTACTGGAGGAAAAAAAATGCCACTACACACTCCAATTGTAAGTGTATAGATGACAAATTAAGCCCCAAACATGACAAATACAGCTACAAACAAATGTCAGAACAAATCTCCACAGCATAAATTTATTTAGGATTTATTAAGTGTCAACCATATGTGCCAGGTGCTGTTATGCAAAAGGGATGCCAAGAGGAATAAGATATAAGACGTGGTCCCTAGACTGCAGGAGCTCACAGCTATAACTTGGCATGACAGGTACACAAACAGATCACTGTGACTGAGAGGTCTGTATTGTAAAAGCAATACAAAACTGAGCATACTGAAAGCACATAGAAGGGTGGATCCAACAACAACAAAAAGTAGTAGAATTGATTTGGCTGTTACAAGAAGAATAACCTGTGAGAAGGGAATGAATCACAGAAAACTTGCCACTCTGAAAACAGAATTCATTAGGTGCAAAATTTCAAAAGGAAACTGAGTTGAGCACTCGCCAAACACAGAAGTTAAAATGTTATGTCAACCCCCTTAACATTCTGAGGAAAACACTGAGGAGACCAAGCAAGCAGGTATAACATAAATTCTAAGTAAGACAACATATGAAACCTAACCTACCAACCCAGCCTCATAAAATTAACTGTGGCAAGGGGATGATCAGCTTTCTGAAAACTGTTAGCAAATTGTTTTACGTTGGAACTCAGAAACCAATACCCACAAAATGGCACTTTAACATGCGGAGCTGAAGAAGCCTGAAGGTCTCTTTGGCCTTCTGCCCCACTCCCCATTCCCTGCCACTGTCTCTCAATCCTGTCTCTCCCAAAGCACAGGATGAAGTTGTTCTCTGAAGTCCGTTTATCTGCCTAAAATCTGGACCTGCCAAAGAAGAAAACAACTACCTGTGGCACCTTTCCTGAGTTTAACTGAACTCATATCCTAGGAAGAAAGACTGAAGTCTGTCAACACACCTGGATAGACTTTTGTCACAAACCACTGTCTGCTCTGCAGGCCCAACAGACTTAGTCCCAAGCCACTTGGGGACTAAGTATATATATTCTTGTATATATATTCTTCAGTCTCATTTAATTTCCTTAAAAATCATTTACCACACTCCTAAAATCATCCATACCTCCCCATCTTCCTTTCTCCTAATAAGAATATATGAACATCTATTCACACTGGGTTTCTGGGTAACTATTCTCCTATGATGCCCTTGTGCTATGCACATTAAAATAAATGTATGGGCCGGTGCAGTGGCTCATGCCTGTAATCCCAGCACTTTGGGAAGCCAAGGCAGGCAGATTACCTGAGGTTAGGAATTTGAGACCAGCCTGGCCAATGTGGTGAAACCCCATCTCTACCAAAAATATAAAAATTAGCCGGTGGTGGAACAGGTCTGTAATCCCAGCTACTCGGGAGTCTGAGACAGGAGAATTGCTTGAGCCCAGGAGACAGAGGTTTGTAGTGAGCCAAAGTCGTACCACTACACTCCAGCCTGACAGAGACAGAGCAAAACTCTGTCTCAAAAAAATAGATAAATAAATTTATGCCTTTCTCAAATCAATGTGCATTTTGTGAGTTAGTTTTTCTGTGAACCTTTAGAGGGTGATGGGGTAGTTTTCCCTTGACCCCTACCATTTACAGAAAAATATTTTAATATGCTTAACAAAATATATGCTGACAAATAGGGGTGGAAAGGCTCTAAGGAAGTAGCATCCTACTGTGTTCAATGGGATGCCCCATGGATTACTCTGGGAATGTCTTTAGAACTCAAGCCTTTTGCTGCGCACCGCCGTGGCTCACGCCTGTAATCCCAGTACTTTGGAAGGCTGAGACGGGCAGATCATGAGGTCAGGAGCTCAAGACCAGCCCGGCCAAAATGGTGAAACCCCATCTCTACTAAAAATACAAAAATTATCTGGGCATGGTGGCACGTGCCTTTAATTCCAGCTACTCGGGAAGCTGAGGCAGAAGAATTGCTTGAACTGGGACCCGGGAGGTGAAGGTTGCAGTGAGCTGAGATTATGCCACTGCACTCCAGCCTGGGCTACAGAGTAAGACTCCATCTCAAAAAAAAAAAAAAAAAAAAAAAAAAAAAAAA